GGTGTCATACTTCTCTTTAACTGCAAGCCACATTTCCCTAGTCGTATTATAGTTTTCAAAAATTTTGATTAAACTATCTTCCTTGAACATTAACATCGGGCTTTTAGCCTTATTGTCCTTAAGTTGCCACTGATCAAACTCTCTTTTCTGAGCGTCAGTGGGATCATCACCAAGAGTTGGTACAGAAACATATAGGACACTATCTAGATTATCATGGGTAAGTCCATACTTAATTTTTCTATGTCACATATCATAGTTGGAACCGTTAAGGCGTTCTATTTTTGCCAGTTCAGATGCAATTAATTTACTAGCCATGACGATAATTAAACTGTATGATATTTCAAACGGAATGGATTTCAGGTTGCTAAAATATAAAACTAACTTAATTAATTGATACTAAAATAACTATTAATAAAAAATTAAAAATTGTATTGTAACTATTATAATGAAATATAAAGAATTTTTTAATAACAACAAGATTAATTATATATACAAAATTAATTCAAGGAAACGAATAAAGTATTAATTTCAATAAATGCTAACTATTATCAAAGTTAAGCAAAGATTAATTAAAAAAATGGAATATTCTAATTGTAGTACTTAGAAAAACTAAAATAATAGCAAATTGAGGTTCTTGTATGAATATACAAGAAAATTATACAATACTACTAGCCTCACAACAAATCAAACAGATAAAGAACCATGTAAATCTTAAAAATTAAAAATTTAAAACATTCCCCAAATCAACAGATTCACAGAATTCCTTTCCTTTTCCAAACAGTCCCAAAATTTGAAACCAAAATTAAAAAACTTTAAATCTTCACAATAAGCCCAAATCAATGGGATAATATAATAGACTATAATAGACTTACGATAAAAAATCTAGAGGGAAAGTGAATCTGTGGGATAATATAATAGACTTACAGTGAGGAGAAAAAAAACATCGACGGAAGAAAAGTGACGGGTGCGAGCGAGTTGCGGGCACGGCCGGAGGGCGTCCTGCCGGAGGGTGGCTGCAGGCGAGTGGTGGGCATGAACCGACGACGGAGGGAGCAGGACGTTGATGAGCGCAGGTCGACGACAGAGGAAGGAAGCTCGATTGGGCTTCCCTTTTGTTTTTATTGTAACGTTTAAAGTTGTAATGAACACAGCAATGAACAAATCGACTTTCTTCCCAAATAGCGATGAGATCCGCGGGAGTACCATGGGAGGGCGGTCGATGGGAGGGATTTGGGGACTTTGGGACAGAGAGCAGAGCGATTGGCTCGATTGGGCTGATCGACGTCGGAGGAATTTGGGGACTTTTAGGGCTTTTAGAGGCTCTGATACCAATGAAGTGGGGTGAGATCGGAGATTACTATTGGGGACTCCGGAGAAGAGATCATATTTTTTTTAATTGGTTTTTGAGGAGAAGAACTCCTCTCTATTTATGGGCATCCATCTCACCCTACGTCCCCAAGAAACTGCCCCTGATTTCCCTCCCGATATTCCTCACGTAAGTTACGTTATGTGAGACTCGTTCCCCAACGGGAAGAAATCCCAGAATATGAGATATTCCCAACAAAACGGGTTGAGTTCTTTAATGGGTCAGGTAACAATTTGGCCAATGAGGCCAAACCCACTTACACACTCTACCTATCAACAAAGTAGTATCTTGCTAATTAGGAGTCTATGACTATTCAGAAAAGAAGTTTTCAGATTAGTCTTTAAAAGGGGGGTTATTCTATTTTAATATATTAATTGAAAATAATATGCTATAATACAATATACTAAACAATTTACTAAACAAATTTGATAAGTTAATTAGATTAACTGATAAATAAATATTATATTTTTAATAAAGCATCACGTCATCAATATCCCACTTAAATTGTCTCGACCAAAGTTTCAAATTGTTTCACTATCCCAATATATCCCACTTAAATTTACCCCCATTTAAAATAATTCCAATGGAGTAAAATTGTCTCATTGGAGCATTATTCTTTCTTCAGTCGAACATAATGCAAAGTAAACTAAGCCTTGCACATACATACAGTATAAATTAAAACTGTACATGAAAGGCTTTTTTATAAATAAATAAAAAAGAAAAGGTAATTGAAAGAAGAAGGAAAGTACCTCTGTCCACCAACCAAGCAGCTCAGGATGTTGAATTTGAAAACCCTCCCGGAAAGCTTCACCATACTGCTCCACTGATCCTTATGCCGACCCCTATTGTTGTCAGCGATAAACGCATAAATCAGAGATAATAGTTTCTCCAGTGATGTTCTCTGCTATGCAGTAATCCATGTAACGCAAAGTTAAAGACTACGAATGATATTCAAAGCATAGCAGCAAAACTACGACAATCATCCTTGAAATCTCCATAAGCTCTAAGAAACCAGACTATTGCGAGTGCCATTTTTCCCTGAAGTGGCAATGCTCAAGATTCGAATCTTCGATCACCAAGCCTCCAGAAATAAGTCCTCTCAAAAAAAATCACAAGGACCTCAATATTGTGAAGTCTCCACTTTTTTAAGTTAGTGTCAAACGTTAACGAGCGACCTTTTTACAGGAAGATTTAGCGGCGTACAAATTGCATCTAAGAACTTAGAAGTGGAAACAAATGAGGCAAACCTGTGCAGTATTTGTATGAACCCCAATATTCTGCTTTATCACATAACTGATCCACATGAACATAGACCACGAAGCACTAACAACGTGTGAACGATAATGCACAAATTTCCTTGCTGCTGTAACATAAGCCGGCAAAAAACTAGGCAGTGCCTAGAAGAACATAAGTTTCTCCATATTTTTGTGATGACACTTAAATTACACCATCCGCCTTGTTGTCAAGAAACTATAGAGGATGTTTGATTAGTCTATATTGGTCATACTTGGATACATTTTTCAAATCCATGATGAGCTTATTTCAGATAGTCATTCGCTCAAATACAAGACAATTAATGCATAGTTTTTATGATCATGTAAAGAGAAACCAAAATCAACAGAAGAAAAATATTTGCAAACAAGAAACTTTACCCATAAGATTTCTCGACATCAAGAGATAACAGCACATTCCAATTCAAGATGAACTCTAAGAGGCATTTATTCAAACAGGAAGTGGGCAAAGGAAAAGAACATCAAAACTGCTTCGATTAATTCTAAACAACAAAAGATAGTAACCATCATAAACCAATTTTAGTAATTGAAATTTTGAGGAGAACTACAATTGGGCATCCAGAAAAGATAAGAACGATTAATTGAAGGTAAGCAAGGATGCCATGTTTTAAATAAAATCATAGTCGGGGTTTGAGTTATTTCCTTTTTTTTTTACGTGCAAGCAAAGAAAAGCAAAGCGGGTACACTTACGAAACTTCCTAACATCATACATATTTTGGGAGTTTCGGATTTGCAACTTAATATCAGAAAACCCCTCTTGACTTTGCACGATTATATGTTAACCCCCCACAACTTTCCAAATTACATTTATAAAAACCCTTAAGTTAGGGGTCACTAGAAACCCCCTTTAGCTTTATGATTTTATTAGAAAACCCACTTAATAGCCTTAATTGCGATTTCCACTAGAAAAGTATCCTCCTACATAATTTTACCCACCCACGTGAGATTTGCGGTTAAAGTTGTTAGGAGGGATCTTTTGATAAAATCTTAAAATTAAAAGGGTTTTTGATAGCCACTTAACTTTAGGGGGGTTTTCTAATATTTTGAAAGTTGTGGTAAGGGTCTTCTGATATTTAACCCATTTTAAAAACTATTTCTCTTTGGTCTTTTGGCATCTTCTTATCCAATTTTTTAGTCAATACCTTAAAGCTAAACTAAAACTAATGGCTTGTTTGGATTTGGATTTGAAGAGAAGTTAAGGGAACCTAGGAGAAGTGAAGTTAAGGAAAAATAAGGTAACATATAAAGCTTATTTGGAAAACAAGTAAGGAGAATCAATGGGAGTTTATTTCACCCCATTTAGAAAGTGTATTAAAGTGAAGTGAAGGGAAGGGAATACGTATAAAATAATATAAAATACTCTTAAATGTTATTAAGTTATGACGTTATGTTGTTACTAGATCTTGATGGGGGTAAATTGGTCTCTCTGCAATTGCTTTGCTCCCCTCCTTTACCTTCACCATGGTTACACCCCAATTTAGGGGGAAGAAAAAAATTGTGGTTTTCTCCCCTACTTTACCTTCCCTTCTCCCTCACTGACACTACCTATAACAATTTAATTCCCAAACAAAGCTAAAGCCTACCATAACTCCCCCCACCCCTCATTACCCTCAATCCAAACACACCCTAAGTCTCTATAGAGCCATGAAGCTAGTGAAGTTTAAGTAAGATACTATTTTTCAGTTTGATTAAATTACACAGACTTATCATCATTTCCATTTTCCCATTAGCATATCATAAGTTATAAAATATTGAAAATTATCATAAAATTTTAAGAATTGTCAATAAACTACCTTCATTATCTTGTAAATGTACGTATTACGTGCTTTGCACATGATAATATCTAAACTAGGTTGTCTTTAATATATGGTACCTTATAGTAATTTTGTGCAATTCGGCATTTCATTTTTACAATGGAATTCCTTTTCTTAGTGAAGGATTTGTTGCTTCTGACCCTTTGCTAAGCAAAACTTCTTATTTTGCAGCGCCAAGTAAAATTCTGACGATTATGTTTAGAATATGAAACTTTCATTGAAATTGGAACCAACTGAGATGGCAACTTTCGAATAAGGTTATAACATAGGATCGTTTGAGTATCAATATCTAGCCCAATAACGACACACAACACTATAATTTTTTTAATCGCACACATGGGGATCGAACCCAAGCCCTCACGCGGAACGCTAATCTTTAAAAGTTTATTATGAACAAATCATTTTCGAGCAAAAAATGATGTATGCTTAGATGATTGAATTCTTGCATATAAACTGTCAAAATATAATTGCAAACAACTGACAACGATTTAATAGAAAACCATATCAAAGCACTTTCTGTGGACTAAATTAGGATAATCTCTTCCGAAAATTCTCACCAAATGGCAAACTATGGATCCGATAATGCATCAAATACTCAATGAATCGCAAGTTTTACATCATTAGATCTATTGAACAAACTGAACATGTAAGAAACTACCTTGAGAATCACTCAGCCATTGGGAAGTCGACGATAGTTTTGTGGAACACCAGGGGCCAGGGCTATGAATGTTCTGTGGCTGAGGCTTGAAATATTTCTGTAAGAACTTAAGTATACACACCAAAAATTTTGGTACCAACTTCGCCACTGTATATTCTCATTTATAAGCAGATCAATAAACCCAATAAAAGGGCAGAACTTATGAAAATAAACCCAGGAGTCCACCCATTTAAAAAGCTACGTAAATTCCATCAGTTGTTAGCGTTCCTTTTTAATGAAGTGCCTCTGGAGCCGATGTAAAAATAACCTGCTAATTTTTCCATCACGTATAAAAGAAAGAATACATGTTACAACAATAATCCCACAAATGGAAATAATGGAGGAGGGATCAGCTTTGACATGAATGATCCAAGCTGGTGATGATGACTGTACGTAACTGACAGATGCAAACCCAGTTCCCTGCTTCTGCCTGCAAAACAAGGTTACAAATTAAAATGAAATGGTTATTATGTTAGTTCCAATAAGCGCTGAAGCAAGATATTAGAATTTTTATTTCATACAGATTTTGAAAATTAGAGAGGTTTGAATGAAAGGAGCTACATATTGTTTTATTTCATTTCAGTATCAGCCCTTTCTATTTCCTCCACAAAAATATGTAAAGAAACTTTGCAAGCAACCAGCTTATAGAATATCAGTCCATAGTAATATTTTTTAACAATTAGACTACAAATCGAGAGTGTAATATAATAGTGTGCTTTCAGTACCGAACCAAATGGGTGTTTAAGAACTGCACAATTAAGAAATCCCTGTATGAAAAGTCAAAGAAATACACAATTAAGGAATATGCTAGACTGACAATATCAAAAGTCAAACACAATATAAAAATCCGCAAGCGACTAACTTTCATCACTTCATCCTCACGTAACATCTGGTTATGGTTAGCAGAAGTGCCAATCAATGGGCAAACAATACTTAGATGAGATTCAGAGACAGATGCACATGTAACCGGTGTCTGAGTGATAGAAGTATGTTTGATGCGGGAGGAAAAAGGATAGTACGATGGGTTAAGGTATTGCAGCAAACAATACTTAGATGGGATTCGGAGACAGGTTCACAGGTAATCAATGTCTAGGTAATAGAAATATTTTTGGTGCCAGAGGAAAAAGAAAAGTATGATGTGTTAGAGTTGTGCAGTGAAGGGGTATACATAGAATTAGATCCTTAATTTCTCTTTATTTATTAAAAAAATATGGTTTTTGCTTCCTTTAGCATCAGTCTGCTATTCTAAATTTCACCATCATTTATACATTAATTGTTTGTAAATCTTAAGCAGAGAACAGGTGTGAAATTTGCCATAGCATAGTCCAAACTACTAACTACTAAGATCACATCACTGAATAGACAAAAAGGACAGTTTAGTGCATGCAACAAAGTATATCACAATCATGTAAAATACTCAGCATGAATTATCCCATTCTCAACTTACCCAAACAATTTCTTTAAAGAACTCCATAAGTAACTTTTGGCCTCTTTTTGTGAAACACGGTTACTCCTTTTGCTCATTTTGTGTTTGTCAATGTTTTCCTGAAGCTTCCCTACAGAGGCATATAAAATTTGAAGGAACATTGAACGACAGGAGGAAGCATACGTCAATCTCTTGAAGATGTGAAAAATATTGTTACCTTCTGATGAGGATGAGTGATTGATAGAAACATCCCTAAGCGACACTAGCTTTTCAACTAGTGAGCGCTCCTCATCACTGTGAACGACACAAGATTATTTAACACAGAAAATAAGCATCATGTAAAGAAAAGCAGTTGATTCATAATATTAACCCAAATTCTTATGAAAGACACTCTTAAATGTAAATAACACTGCAGCATGGCTATAAAAAGGAATAAAGTTATTAGTAACACAGGTGTCTTTTGGAACTTTCTTGAGTACCAAGTCACACAATATAATGATCTCATTTTGATGGATCAAGTTTAAATTATGCTGACGCAGAAGTTTTCCTATATCTTGTATATGATAATGTGGACATCATGATGAGGTAAAAGCATACTAGAATAAAGTCTACTCAGAATCCATGACTACTACATGAACAAATATACAAATTAATCAATTAGTTCTTGTTATGATTTTAGAAAGGGAAGTTTTATTATTGATGGTTAGGTAAGATAGTGAAAGGTGGAGGAATTGTTTTCATAAGTTGTTCAATGAGAATCACACAAGAGAGCATAAATCAGATGATTCAACTTCTGAAATACACTACAGGCATTATTGAAAATCTAGGCTAACTAAAATCAAGGAAGCTTTAAAGAAAACAAAAAAGACAGGGAGACTTGTAGGACCTAAATATACTTTAATTGAAGTTTGGAAGGGTTTGGACGATACAGGCTTAGTGTGCTGACTAAGTTATTTGACAAGTTATAGATACTAAAAAATATCCAACTGTTGGAGAATTAGCACTTCTGCACTTGTATGTAAGAATAAACAAACATACAAAGTCATGTAAAATATAGTGCGATCAAGCTTATATATAGATAATGGAACTTTTGTAAAGAGTAATTGAGCAAGACCAAGAAAAAAACATCTATCCCCTAACTAATTTGTTTTATGCTTGTGAGATCGACTATGGAAGCTAATTCATTTACTAAGAAAATTTTTGCCAGGTAGGTTGGGCATGAGAGCTGATACCAATTCCATGTCCTCAGGCACAGCAGTTTGAAGCATAACAAGAATATTAAGAAAATATAACTAACTAATTCAAACCTGATAGTTTTTGGAATCTGTACCCTGACAACAAAATGATGATCACCTCGAACTGAAGGTTTATTAATATTTGGAACCCCCATGTTAGCAAACACCAAAGAGTCGCCAGGCTGTGTCCCAGGAGGTATTTGAAGATCCCTACATCCCCCAACAGTTTCGACCTGGGATAGGATTTCATATATCATGTAAATATAAACAACTTACTGATAGAGATATGCCCAGTCAAAATTATTCCCACAGAAGACAATAACCAATTCTTTTAAGTTTTACTAATGTGAAATTATCAAAAGATAATTCAATAATTAAACATTAATAAGCAGGTTATTAATCAAATCAATTGATGGGCAGTCCAATTTATCCTTTTAGACTTAAAATGAACATCAACTCTTTGAAGTAATTGTTTCCACATTGCACCTACATCATAGACAAGGAGTGTAATTTGACTTCACAAGTGTAACCAGTATTGATTATAGCTATTATAGATCACTGTTATAGATAATACGCATAGCTGACCGGATACTCAAGAAAAGGGCATCGCATGTGAGGCAGCATTGCAATGTCAGCAAGGTTACCTTAACTATAGTTCCTAATATCGCTTCAGTGTAATCAATACTGACGTCAGAGTACAAGTTAAGACCGTCCCTCCGAATTCCTGGTTTCTCATCCACATGAATGAATAAATAAAGATCGCCAATACTACCCCTGCATAATGGAACCAATCATTGCTTAGTTATCAGTTTGAGTCCAACTGATGAGATAAAAAGAGATAATACTAGATTTTAGATACGCCAGATTAATATTTCAATATAAATGATATGAACTACAAAAGGACTCATGTTCACCCCATTATTACAGAACAGGTTGTGATTTTCATGTGAGCAGAATCTGCAGTGAAACATGACCTAGGAGCTTAACATAAAATTATTCCAAGTTCTGCATAAAAATGTGCATGAAGTGAATGAGAAAGTATTGCAGAAGAACACAAATGCAATCATCGTCTTGAGATAAATTTACCGTACAAATACATTTTTCTGCAGATATAAAACTACTTTTAACTAAGGGTCCTGTATGGTTAACTGGTTAAGTGAGGACTAGAACAACAATGGATGTCTTTTCAGAACTTTGCAAGTTTTACTTTCAAGAGCTCGGCTGGAAAGACCATTAAAAAGGAGGATGTAGCCTGCTCATTTTCCTCCTCACTTATTTTTTGGAACTAGGTGACTTTCCTGCCCCTTCCCAATAGGCAGGCCCCGGATCTATCTCCAGTGCTCCCTCATATTAAGCACCTAAGAACAACTCAGTCGGTTATAAATATAAATTTTTTATATAAATTACATATAAATTTCAGTAAGTTCAAAGAAGTACAACATGAACTCTCATTACACCTAACCTACTCCAAAAGCTCTTTTCATGTAACATCTAATAGAAGTTTACGATGAAAAATCACATATAACATGATCAAACATTATATAAAATAAAACCATCATATATCTTATGTGTAGCTCTTCTAAGGATTCTAAAAGCTCTTTTCGCACATAACCAAGCTGAAAATGTATGTGGCAATATCAAGGTTCAGGATACACCTTTTCCATGAATCATTAAGAGGCTAAGGCATCAAGATTCATTCAATGATCAGGCAACATTTTTTAGCATCAACCTTAGCCTCACTAGGAGTCAATGAAGCTACGCATTCAAACCAACGGAGCATTTTGCATGAACAACAAGAACTAATCTTACTTGTTAGGAGCAGGCATTTGCAAGAACTTGTTTCAAGAGGCTAAGGCATCAAGATTCATTCAATGATCAGGCAACATTTTTTAGCATCAACCTTAGCCTCACTAGGAGTCAATGAAGCTACGCATTCAAACCAACGGAGCATTTTGCATGAACAACAAGAACTAATCTTACTTGTTAGGAGCAGGCATTTGCAAGAACTTGTTTC